ATTTAAAAACAAACAACGCAAAATATACTTCAGCGTAAATAGAAGAAATCGCTGTTGAAGAAAATAAGTTGTTAAAGAACAAAAGAAATTTCTTAACTAAAGTTAAAATAATAATTCTTATAAAAGTAAAAGCATAAAGAAGAAAGCTAGATTTATAAAAGAAAGCTGGAAACTGAAGCTGATAGATTTAGCTCGTCTTGCTCGAGAAAGAGAACGGAAATATTGAGCTAGAGCATATGAATCAGCTGATTAACGATCATCTCGGCTAAAAAAACAAAGAAAACGATATGTTATAGCAATGGCGGCTGAAACAGAAAATAGTAGAAGCAGACACATAGCTAAACTTAACGAATACCAAAAAAAAGCATTGGCTTTATTTTGCTATTCGTTAAGTTTAGCTATGCATCTGAAACAGAAAGGGGTAAATGCAGACGCATTCGTAAACAAAAAGATAGTAATAAATATATTAAAAAAACTTTTTAAAAACAAAATTTTTGAAATGGACTAAAAAGTAAAAAACAAACTGTTTATCGGGACCCAATGACTTTGTGTACGTACACAACCTGAAATATTCATTGACACAAACTCAATGACACAAACTCAAATACTCATTGACACAAACTCAAATACTCATTGACACAAACTCAATGACTGGAAATGTTGGACAACCAATATGATAAATAGTAAAAATATTATAAAAGTTATGAACCTGCAACTAATTATAACTCGATCCCATGTCGTGTGCCATTCTTTTTCAATCCTAATAAGTTGATATGAAAAGTACAACGAATCATTAAAAATTACTTTTATGTTTTTTACTGAATTTCTTCCAACAAAATCATGTAAATAACTTGTAAAAGAGGCCTCGTTTGTTACACTTTTTATTTTTTAAGAGAATGAAAACACAGTGGCTACGGGTACGTCTAGACGCATTCCTAACAAAAAAAAGTTAAAGGTGCAATGATATATCATTGATATATGATATAACTAGAAGTCTAATTTCGATCCGAAAAATGAAGTCGCTTTTTGCCCTTTTTACAAATGGCGGATTAAATTTGTAAACAAATAATTTTAACTTTTCTTTTCTTAAACGAAGTAAATACATTTTAAATTTAAATACTATTTACGTAAAAGTGTTAAGCGGAAATTATAATACTTGTAAAATAATAATTTATGATTCCTCAATTGATTTTAGATCATAAAGGGATTAAAGTTTGAAATAGAAAAGTAAAACAACAGACGCTTTTGAAGCGTTTTTATGAATTAAAATATTTATAAGTATTTTATAACTAATAAAATTTGTTTTTGAATTATCTTTAATTTATTGGGAACTTTTGAATTGCATTTTTAACTTTTATTCTACACTTCGGCTTCAGCTTTTGCCCATTTTATAAACGGCGGCTTGTTGTTATAAACAAAAAATAAAGCGGCTTTACTTTTTGTATAATAAAATCCTGCAAGTTAGACAGACATCTTAATACTTTGGGCTGCATTCCCAAACAATCCGACTCATAGAAAGCGCTTCGTGGTCGGTTCTCAACGCCACACACGGGATTGTCACCCTCTGCGATGTGAAGGCATTTCATCAATAGTAATATAAAATAGGTGCGTCCAAAGCTTCGGACGCGAATGAGCCGATTTTAACCTTAATAATTAGTTGGTGACAGCTTTAAAAAAATTAGAAGGAGCTTAAATATTCTAAAATTTTGTCAAAATTTTAGAATATTTAAGCCTAAGCAAGCTATTTTGTTACATTACTCTATTCAATTTTTAAATAAAAATGTATTTTAAAGGATGTTGATACTTTCAGAAGAAAACTGAATTTTTTACTATTTTTCAACAATAAGTTGAAATTCAAATTTTAATGCAACACCGTCTTTTTCCTGGCTTTTTTTTCCAAGAACTTTTTTTTTTTTTTTTAAGGAAAATCTAGTCATGGAGAACTTTTTTTGCAGTTGATAATTGTGCTTTGCCCCCCCCCCCCCCCCACCCACCTTCACTTCGAAACCCGTGTAGTCGGCCTTGATATTTATAAAAATCGTGCAACTTTGTGCAGCTATATTTTTTTATATTGCTTTTGATTAGTGTAAAAAGCAAAATAAAGTTAGAAACACTGTGAGATCATAAGGGACTTTTTTTAATAAACTCTAAAAAAAGAAGTTGCTTTTGGAAAATCAAGTTTTTCATGTCTATTTTTTGTTTTATATACCGTAAAATCGCGTAAGTTTGATCACTTTAGCTTTGAACAATTCATATCTCAGACATAAATAAAGATTCATATCTCAGACATAGATAAACGTTTTTTTAATTTTTTCAATTCTACAGACAACTTAATCATTACTTCATATTATGAAAAAAAATAGCTAAAACAAAAAATATCATTAGATATTTTATTTCAAATGAGAATTGTTAGTTTGACCGAACTTTTAATAGCATCTCATTAGTTAGCAGGCCCGCAAATAGACTTTGTTGTGCGCATGGTCAATTTTTGCTTTGTGCCCCAAACTTTGGATTTCTGGGTATATTGAATTAAGCATGAACTTCACTGTTTATTGTCCGTATGTCTACTATCACACTTGAGCAGTCTTGGCGCAGTAGTAGCGCACTTGCCTCAGAAACAAAATATCCGTGGTTCAAACCCCACCTCTGGGCAAGTCTTGCGACATCGGTTAGGAAAGAGGCGTGAACTTCCAACTAAATGCTCATCCGCAGTGCTCTGTGATAAGACCGTAAGGACTTCTTAGGGCACCTAAATAAAATTAAAAATTGCGAAACTAGAGATGACATTTTCGTACAATAAAATTTTGGCATGGTTGTTTTCAATTGAAATCACCATAAGATTAGTAATTTCACTGTTATTCATTGTTGATTGCAATTTGGATTTGATGAGAGCAAGCTTACTGAAAGAGTGCTCTCCTTCAGCCATTGAAACCGGGATTGTATTAAAAATGCAAAGCAAAATGCAGATCAAAGAAAACATTGACTGAAGACCTTTCTAGTAGATTTTGTTGAGCAACTTGATATGAGAAAAAGATTCAAAAGTATTTAATTACTCTTCTTCTTTTACATCGTTTACGATGTAAAAGAATCGTTTATCGTTTATCGATTTGCCAGGTCTTTGCATTTTTCTTTCAGACTAAGTTTTTCTTCATCACCTCAAGGAGATAGAGAATACCATATGAATGAAAACATAACCGTCGTCTTTTGAGCTCTATTTATTTTGTATCTTACCTGCAAGGGAAGGCGTGTCAAGAGCAACATTAAATACGTTCACCTCAAAACCCTTTGATTCGTCTTCGTGGAAGTGGGATGTGTTCATCGACTCGACGTGAAGTTTTTTTCTTTTCCTTGCTCTCTTCTTAACAAAATCATTTTGAAACCCAAACGAAGCTAACTCTAATCCAACCAGTTTCGCTTTTTGAAGGATTTGGGGCCAACAAGAATGTTAGTCGGTCAAGATCATCGATTAGAGTTTTTAAAAACTTTGTCTCGTCATCCAAAGAAATGCTTTCTGATTGAAGAAGGAGGCAGACATCGTTGACAGATAGGAAAGCTTTGAACCAGAAAGAAGTCTGTTGATGATCTTTTAAATCAAGTTCTTCAAGTAGTTTCAGGGACTTCAGTATTTCTTTTGGTCGTTTTGACAATGGCCGGACAGCCTCTATGCGCGCACTCCATCTTGTTTGGAGCGTTTGGTGAAGAATTGCCCATTTGCCTCAGTCAAAATTTTCTAGGGCATGGGGCTACTAAAAAAAAAGTTATACAACAATTGGATGTTGCTAAAATAGTTCTTGACTACAGTAAAGGATTCTGCAGAATGAACGTCATTTAGATTGAGACTATGCGCACTGCAAGGCATGAATAAAACTTGAGGATTTTTCTCAAGAATGATGGCCTGCACTTCTTTGTATACACCAAATATATTAGCCCCGTTATCATATCTCTGGCCTCTACAGTTCTATAAATTACAAACGTCTATAATCAGCTTCGCAATGTCCTCTTTTTTTCTCCAGATTTTTTTACTTCAGAAAACGCTCTTTAACTATTCATTGGTTGCCAGATCCTAGGCGGACAATTCGAAGAACGAAAATGATTTGCAGGGTCGACAACACGTGTTTTGAAGTGGGGGGCACATTGGTAAATTTAAAAAAAAAATTCTTATATATCTTAAATTTTCTCTAAAAAAAAAAAAAGTTCGTTTAGAAAAAAAATGGGAGGGCACGTACCCCCCTCCCCCGTGTTGTTGGCCCTGATTTATTCCGTATGAGACACGTCCGGAGTTCCATCAACAATAATGAAAGAATAAATGGCTGTGTGGAATTCTTCAATAATAGCACCAAAAATAGTTTTACCACATGCCATAATCAATTTATTTTGAGTCCTACAGCTCAAATAGTGCGTTTGCATTCTCGTTTCTTGTTTTTGGTGTCGAGAAACTTCTTCCAAATGGAACTAAAGTGTCTTATTGTGTTTCTTCAACAGTTTGAGGGTAGCTAAAAAATTACCATTATCATACTCGTCCAGCATGTTTGATGACCCTACACAAATATGAACATATATTTGAAATAAAGATTACAAGTTTTATATATATTTGAAATAAAATAATCTTTATTTCAAATATATTTACATATATTTGAAATAAAGATTACAAAGTGACGTCCAGGACACAGCGTAAAATTTCATACCACTTAGATGCCTCATTTCTAATTGACTTTTCAAGTTCTGAATAAATCCCGGTCTGATTTTTCAAGGCTTCAAAGGCTGATTTCCAGACGATGTAGTGATTTTTTTGTTAAAGATTACACTGGTGGCTTTTAATCTTTTCTCCTAGCTTTTTCCAATTATCTTTTATTCCACCATTCCACATGAAGAGGAAAGACTGAAATCTAGGGTCAAAATTATGCTATTGACTAAAAATAGAGCAGGGAAAACAAACAAAAGCTTATGCAGTTCCACTCTAGATAAGTCAGTCTCTGTTAATCTTTTCTCCGTTGGGAGAAGTTTCGTAAAAAACGGAGGCATGAACTTTTTTGTTTGCAGAATCTCTAGGAAAAAGTGACGCATTTTGAGGTGTCTATTTAGTTTGACTAGATTGCGTTCGACTTTGGATAATACCCTCTTCCAAAAAGCGGGGTTGTTTCTAATTGCTTGAACATTCAGTTAAATCACCTCTTGATCATAAATTTAAAAAAAAGCATTTGAGAATTGTGGTATGTTTTTAATTTGTTCAGATATTAAATGATATTTTTTTAGAATCTGTAGATATTAAATGTGATATTTTAAAAAACTGCAGGTTTTTCATAAAATAAGAATGCGTCCCAAACTCACCCGATTATCATCATATTCAGAGACCGTTGAAAAATTTGAAGGGAAAGATGGCTTTCTTAGACTCAAGGGTTCATCAACGCTGTTGGTAGCATGGTCCGTCTAAAAAAGAATTGTTTTTATAGTTTTTGAATGAAATTATGAATATAAGATTGTGAATAAAAATTAGGCTGTTAACCTATACCTTGACTACTTGGTCGGACGTAGAGTTGTTAGATTTTTGAACTTTTTTTTTTTAACTTAATTGAATCTACACTTCTCCAGTGTACGTTTGTTCTTGTATTCTTTTACAATTTTTTCTACAGCTTTTTTTCTGCCTTGGGACCATGAAAACTGGACATGACGTTTTTACTCTAATATGTGTGTTACTTATTTTTTAAAAAAATAAAAAAAGCTTTTCATTTGTGTCGATATCGAAATGAATTTTTTATATAGAATTTAATTCTCAAAGAAATTAAAGAGAAAAAAAATAATTAAATGCAATTCCACAATATCAAATTAATTGCAATGAATGTATTAAAAAAAGAATATTTCAAAAGTATTGGAATGAGAGTAACTTAACTGATTTATGTAAAATAATATTGATAATATTTTAAAACAAGTCTTTTGTTTGATGAGTGTTATGTAATTTGAATTTTAACTACAATAATTGTTTATAATGATTTAATTATTAAATTGGGGCCATTGCAATCAACCCTTCCATGCAGAAAAAATAGAAATTGTAAAATTTCCATTTAACTTTACCTAAGTTTTACAAAATATCAAAAAAAAAATCTTCTATTTCGTCTTAAATTTTTTGCTTAAATAATCTTCCTTTTTTTTTTTTTTTGCTGTTTGATAATTTGAATGTTTGAGAGTTTGTGATAATTTGATTGCCTGATTTTATAAGAAATTGCTGAAACGATATTTAGAGTCAAACATGTTACTTTTTGAGTTAATTTGAGACAACTTGGTGGTGGTGATGTTTGAAGTTTTGCCGTTTGTTAAATTTACAATAAATACATACTACATATATAAACTTAGACCAGAGTAAAAAGAAGACAAACTGTCTTATCACCGAGCCCCGTTTACATATTGCCTGTGTTTATATAAAAGGAAATATATGCATAATCCGTTTTAAAACAAATATAAATTTTTTGCCTCGAAGCAACTTGCATGCAAAGAAAAAAGAAAAACCAAACATCGAAGAGCAAGTTGCGCTTGCTGTGGTTAAAGTACAAAGCGGTGAGTTCTCACTTAACAAAACTG